CATAAGGTGGCAAACGAGCAAGCGGCCACCTTAATCCGCCAAAATGGCGAAGCGACCGCTGCCCATAGACATCCGCAAATGCAGATGCGTTGCCTACTTTTATCCGACAGAGGAGGAGACGCACATAAAGAGGATATTTCCCTTCCTATGCATTTCCTCCTCCGTCAAATCCACTTCCTATCCTCTCCTTATAAGAAAAGGGTGGTAAAGAGAAAGGGACTTAAATTAGGTCTCCGGCACCACACTCATCAGTCGAAACACGGAATTGCTTCCATTTCACGCCTGTCTTCTGTGTGGTCGTAATATAACACCGGGCGTGCCGACCCATTCGTGCTAAGATGTTAAAGCGGGCACTACCACTGCACTGGTTTCCAAGAATTAAATAAAGTAATCTCTTAATTGATTTAGAACGGTCGCAGTTGTGCGATTGTCGATTGTTTCGCAGCCCATTTAACAGTTTTGCACAACTAAAAATCGAGTAGTGTGCGCACCTCCATATAAGCTTAAAGGAATCAAAGCGAGACTAATTATGCGGTAGTTGCGGGTCCAGATGTGCGCACGCTTTTAAACTTTATGATTTCCAGGTAATAGGATGGGGTTTCGATCAAGAGGATGCACTGTCTACCCAACTGCGTCAAGCGACGATGCCTCAAATATCAGAATCCGATTGCATCAAGAAGAATCCACTTTTCTATTCGAGACTTTTGAATAGTAAAAAGTTCTGCGCTGGTCTTGATAATGGTTAGTTAAATTGTCGTTTAAGAGTGGAATGTACCTTTGACTAAACAATCAAACAACTGTTGTGCGATTGTCGATTGTTTCGCAGCCAACTAAAAATCGAGTAGTGCGCGCAATGTAAGTATATAGAAATCAACGCTAGACTAAACAGTTGTGCGATAGTTTAGTTAAATGCGATTCTATAGCTGAAATATCTGTACAAAATCATTGTCATTCCACATATTGACATTACTAAAACGCATAACCGATAATTAATTGCATTAAATTTATCATTGTTATTGAAAGAGATAACGTTTCGATGACCTTAGAAATACATGCAATAAACATTCCTATTTACAACTAACATAACGTAGCATTTAAATGTAGGTTCTAATTAAAACAACTAAAAAGAACTATATTTACAACTTCAATTAATACCAGCATAATAATGTCAATTATTTCTCAATCATCTCCCTGTTCTCATTTCCCTCGTGGTGTCAGAGAACCCAGTTTCCTTCAGATCGATTCTTGTAGTCACGAAATATATCTCTTTCGATGTCTACAACTACCCCTTCACATACATATTCAACCATCAATCACTCTCTTCCCTACCTTTAGTAAGCAGAGAACTTACATAAAGAGGATGATTCCCCTTCTTTTGAGTCAAATACAACAATAAATAAGAATTTAATGTTACTTGAAAACTATATTACATATTATAAATGGATTATTGGATAATACTATTAAAAAATTAACAGTCTTGCAAATATAGAGATATCTGATAGAGTCTCTTTTGCAGGAACATCAGCGTGTAATGGCGACAGTGGGGGTGGCTTCCACGTGTTTATACCCGACGTGACCGGCAATGATCTTGCTAACGCAACCGGTGCCTGGTATGTCTACGGCATCGTGTCCCTGAGCGTCTCCAGAAGAGATATGCCAGTGTGTGATCCTAACCAATACGTAGTTTTCACCAAGATTGCGGAATATAGAGGATGGATACAGAAGTATGTAAAATAGTTCTTTGGACGATCAGGGAAACTTCATCTTTGAAGAATATGATGAATAGATTAATACGAAAATCTTGGACTTTCATTTATAAATTTTCTAATGTACCTTAGTAAGTGTGCGCTCACCTGAAACTAAACTATCGCACAACTGTTTAGTCTCGCTTTGATTCCTATGAGCTTATATGGAGGTGCGCACTACTCGATTTTTAGTTGTGCAACTAAACAGTTGAGTTAACTGCGAAACAATCGACAATCGCACAACTGTTGTGTTACAGTTTAGTTAAATGTGTGCGCCCTTTTTGATGGTCTCTGGTCTTACTTAATTACTTTAACCAAATAAGAGATCGTTAGATTCACAAATTAAGGACCTTCCAGTTCAATTAATCTTAGTACATTATTTGACATCTAAACTAACAGTGGTAGTCTGTTCAATAGACATAAAGGAAATAAATCAAACCCAGAAATTTCAATTATCTTTATTATCTTATATTATTTTGATGTTACATATTTATTGACCCATTGTTCGTATTTGCTGATATCAGTGAATACGACGTATTGATGCGGGTCACAGAGGGCGACCTCACGTCGAGCTGCACTAAGCGATACGATTCCTCGGATGTACCACGCTCCAGTAGCTTCATCGTCTTTATCTGGTATGAATACGTGGAAACCACCACCGCTGTCTCCATTGCATGCTGATGTTCCTACAAATTTAAGATGATTTAAAAAACAGATCTTAGATTACTTTATACTGTTCCTCCATATAATATAGAAGCTTTCGCCCGCGACTCCGTCCGCGTGATATTAAAAAAACTAATCCAAGTAGCCAATGTTCTTCCAGACTATACTCTACATGCAAAATTCCAATTGCTGTCTATACATACCATTTTGTAGTCCTGCACAAAATTTTCTATCATCAAGAACTTTAGAGTAAAAGAGAGGATTTCTTTTAATGCACTTTGCTTCGGATACAATCGGCATCGTCGCTTGACGGAGTTTCGTTGACAGATTTTCGGATTCATCTATACCCCATCCTACAACCTTTAATCAAATGGAAGCATAATATAATGTTAACATAAAATTTAACCCTTTTACAACATGTGTACACCTGCAACTAAACTATCACACAAATCTTTAGTCTGGCATAGATTCCTATGAGTTTATGGAGGTGCGTACACAACTTCATTTTTAGTTGTCCAACTAAACAGTTGAATTGGCTGCGAAACAATTGACAATCGCATAACTGTTGTTATAAGTCAAAATCTATGAAGTCTAATTAGTCAAAAATGTGCGACCATACCAAAGCTACAATCATCTTACTTACTGATCCTGTTACATCCGATGAAATTCTCTCCGATATCTTCTCATGCCATACACAAGCTGGTTGTACATAGTCATCAAAAGTCGCTTCGACTTTCAATTTGAGTAAAGCAAGATCACTTGCAAGACTTCTATATGTAAAATCTTCATGTACCAAAATTTGATATACCTGGAATCAGATTTTAGTTAAGTTAATTTAAGTACAGGGTCTTTTACTAGTAGAATACCACCTTTATAACGACAATTGTCAAAAGTCATGTAGTTACTTATCATGATGTGCTAATATTGGTGTTGAAAAATAGCGATGTCAAAATTAACTACTAGCTTTCGCCCGCGACTTCTTCCGCGTGGAA